GTAATTGCATATTGCACACTAGTTATATATATATATATATATATATATATATTGTATTTATAACTGTTTTCAAGGAATCAAAAAGCCGCCACCGCTATTCCCTCCCGAGGATGTAGACATTTTCCAAAACCTCGTTAAATCCTTGCGCTCTTTCTTAATTGTTTGGTTATTGATTCTTGAGTTTTCTTTTCCCTTCTTTTTCAACAATTTTGTAAAAGTTTCAAGATTTATAAGAGTTCCAACCTGATTATAGATTGGTTTATTAAAAATAATAATAATGATGATGATAAGAGAAACTTACTCTAAAATCCTTTGTGACAACACTATAATACCCATTTTGTGGTGTGATGTCATCGAAATAAAGAATAGGAGCAGAAGAAGCCAAAGCTCCAATAACCACATGCGGGTATTTTAATCTGAACCAGGCTGCAAGCACTGGAACAATAACACTAATCAGCTAACACTTTAAGAGAGTCACAAATTATATATGCTTTGTCAAATTATTTTTGATAAAATGTAAATGATTAACTTACTTCCACCATAAGATCCTCCCATGGCTATCACTGGAGAGTTTTCAGCAGATAAACTCTTCTTTAAATCTCTGATAAATTCTGCATAATCTGCAAGGGCTTGTTCTGAACTGAAATACTGAAGTGTACTGGAATTTCTGTATGCCTCTTCTTTTGAACCAAATGGGTAAGATTTTCCATAATACCTATGCTGCTTTGCAAAGAAAATTACTGTCACATTAATTTCAAACATTAATAACCAAAATAGTTGAAACTAATCACTAATTATTAAGCATATGAAGTTAACCTTCTAAATATTAACTAAGGCATAAGAAAGCATTAATTTAAGTATATTTGAGGATAACTTGACAAAAAAATTAGCATGGGTGGATTTTAAGACATTTAAATTTGCTTTGAAATGTGCAAATACAAAGAATTTAAGAACTTATTGTAAACTAAATCTACTTCACTTAGTTAAGGAATATAATGTATTAGAGTTCAATTACATAACATTCTATTTTTTTAAAGTAAATTCAGATTTTTAAATCCAATTATTAGGTGGAATTAATAGATTTAGCTTAGGCAGAAAGGCAGAGGAATGGACTTATGCCAAACACCATAAACAAATTTAATGAATTTAACCTTAAATTGAACAAAGCATTATTCTGAATTTACAACATTTGAGTTTGATAAGTCCCGATTTATGAGATTTATACTAAAGCCTATTTAACCTAAAATCTTATATAGGCAGCCAAACACCCCCCATAAATTGAACAAAACATTATTCGCTCGATAGCAAATACTGTGTGCACTGAGTGTATGTATAAACCATGGTATTGGGGTGGTATTGCACCCCAATACCACCCCAATATCACCTAAATACCATCAATACCACCCTAATACCACGCCAATACCACTATCCACACCAAATCCACACCTACCTATCGCATCCACAAGCAATATTGTTCTCAAAGTTTAATATTTCTAAAGGCACTCACCTCTACAAAAACCAAGAGAGCTTTGAAGCGTGGAGCAATATCGACGGGGAATCCGGCCACCAAGTCGCCGTCGAGACCGGCCTCATCTCCGGTGTAGAGAAATATGGGTGAGTTAGAGCTTGCCCCTCCCCAGTGCTTGAAGTTAATGGCATACCTCTGCTGAAATGTGATGTATCTCTCAGGTCCAAAGTTGAAATGATCTAAAGTTTGAGAATAAGTTCTCAACTCAAAGTCAGGAGGAATAAAGCCATCTTTTTTACTTCTCATAGAATTCATATAACTCCAATGGCTACTTCTTCTTTTCTGAAGGCCAATCATGGAAGAAGAAGAAGGCCTCAGCGCTTTGGCTGAAGCCAGCATTACTAGAAAGAAGAGAAGTGCTTGTAAAGCCTTCTTCATCTTTAAGAAAGATGGATTGGTGGAGTCCCTTAGGTTTATAAGCCTATATATATATATGCATATATATGAAATGGATTGGGGGAGTTTCATACGTTTATAAGTTTTAGATATCTGAGAACCTACTCCGACGTTAGCATATAAAATAAGGGAGTCGAATATTGACATTTTAATTCTTTTATGTATGTTTTTATAAATATGTTTTTTGTTTTGGAGTTTTTGTAACTTTCTTGTATAAAATGATGGAAGCTTGATTCTATACGTTGTTAACTTATAATGGGTGTTGAATTGTAATGAAGGTGCTTCGTATAATTTACAAGAAAGTTATGCTGATTTCTTAATAATAAAGTAAATTAGGTGATTATTATTTTATTTTATTTTATTTTTATTTTTTTGTTCTTTGGGTATGTGCACCATACAACATAGATAAATTGGATAGGTTTCTTTCTTGAGTGAGTATAAATAAGTTTTTTTGGGCTATTTTCATCATGGATTAAACTATTTTTAAAATTGCATGGGAAAGCACTCAGAAAATTTAGAAAAATAGGATGGTTATCATACCATTCGGAAGTTTTTATTTTATTTTATTATTTTATTATTTTTTAAAGAATGACCAGAGGTTGTTATACGAGCCTTCAGGCACCCATAATGTGCCTAACAATTCGAGTATTATTTTCATGAGACTAACTGTGCCAGAGGAGATTTGAACCCCCGACTTGAGGGGTCTTATACCTTGGATGCCAACCAACAGGCTGAGGTACACAACACATCACTCGGGAGTTCTTAATCCAACCAATATATGAGCAAAATACTTGCGAAGAACCAATGCATTTAGCACCAAAAACCTTCCAATTTCCCATGAACCTCAAATAAAATATATGTTTGACATTTTCTTTTATAATTGTTATGCTTGAATAATTGTCATATGTTAATAGAGAGTGATAAATTCTCATGACATTTTGTTGCAGCATGTACTAAAAGTTTTGTCCTATTATTTCATCTATCATCAAATTGTCCATTTGTCCCTCAAGCTTTTGATTGAGTATGCAAGATTCAACTATTGAATCCAGATTAGTTTGGAAAAAAACTTGAATCCTACTTGCAAACTCGTGAAAACTTGAACAGAACTTAAAAGAGTTTTTTATTATATTGAGAGATTTTATTACTTCACTTCATAGTATTGAATTATCTTCTTAATGTAAATTTTTGTTGGAAAAATAATCAAATATGTTGACAAACATATGTGATTAAATATGTATTATATGTTGTTTTAAAATCTAAACCTCTTTTAAAATGATCTAATTAAGATTAAATAAATAGGATTTTGGGTATGGTTTCATATTTCTAATTATATGATGGATTGGACATACTTTTTTTTATTAGATGCGGTCTTTTAGAAGGGACACATCCATTTAGAAAAGGTGTGTTTAGTTAAAAACAAATTATAGTTATGGTCCCCAATCTAGATGATAAGGAAAAGATATTTCTTATTCCCACTCTCTGACATCCCATCGTAAGAAAAAATACGAAAATTCTTCTCTAGGAAAAATTATATTGGATTGAAAGATTCATAACTCAAAATCTTCTTTACCATATGTATCAATGTTCGTTTCCACACTTGTTTAGTTATTTATATTGGTGAATCTGACAATTTCATTAAATGACTCTCTTTTTGGATTATTTTAAAATTTTTCCTCACAAGTGGTATCAGAATCATGATTTATGATATTGAGTCGCTATATACTACATATGTTTTTTTCATATATACTTCTCAAATGAATTAATTCATTCAATATATTGTCAAAGTAATGTGTACTGTGGTTTTTTTAGATTGTTATATGAATATGATTTAAGCAAATATTAACCTGCCCAAAGGAAGGGAAGTATTTGATTACAATATGTCTAAATATGTGGTAACATATATGTCACAACTATACAATATTTCATGCAAATAATAATTTGATCCAAAGATAAAAATTTTCATTTATCATGATTTATTATTGGTATTTGATTACTATATTAAAGAGCATAACTTACAAGTTAATATATTAGTCTAAAGATAAAGTATTAAAGTTGTACTTAGCATTTCATGATGAGATTCACTATAATTATGTTGTTCTTCATTTTTAATTGCTTAAGATATGTACATGTTCGAATCCACTATCCTTCATCTATTTTCTTAATTAATATAAACGAGTCAATTTCGAGTAAAAAATAAACAATAATATGCAAATTGAATCAAACACAAATACATTGTTACACAAATAATTTCTAATAAAATTAATTTCAAATGAGCCGAGCATGAGCCAAGCCTAAACACGCTCAAACTCTGCTCCTTAACAATACTATTATTATGAAAAATTAACACCATTTAATTTCAATTAAAAAATTATGCTTAATAATTGTTCATGATACCTTAGAACTAGGGTTACTATAACATTATTTTGCCCCTTGAATGTTGTCTAAGGACATGCTAAGTTATGCCATTCATGATCAATCTAATCTACCTTTTCTATATTATATAAAATTTATATTTAACTAGAAGACAAGATTTAAAAATGCTTGGCCATATTCTTCTCTAATTGCAATTCTTAACTTCACTCATCCCTCAACAATCAACATATTGACGTGAAAGCTCCATTTTCTATCTTCCATAAAAAATACCTAAAAAGTAGGAGATAAGATAATGCTTAAGAAAATCAAAATTTTCGGTTCTTATGCATTCATTGACCAAACAAATTCACATATTATGAGAAGTTGCCACAAGCCCTAAGTTTAATATTGATAATTTTCTTAGGTTAATATTCTTCTTAAACTATTCATTAAAAATATCATTGGCATATAATTAAAGAACCTAGTTGATATATATTATTAGAGGTATTAGAATTGTTATGATATTATATTAATAATGTGGTATATAATTAAAATTTATGAGGATTTATATTATTTATTACTATAAATTATCATTATTATTTTGTTGAAATTATAAATAATAATATTTTTTTGTTTGATTAATAAAACTGAAAAAATGTAAGTTTAGAGTGTAACAAAGAAAATGGAAAAAAAAAAAAAGATGCCATCATTAATAAAAAGCTATCTACACCAATTAAATATGAAAGATAAATATATATATATATATATATATATATATATATGGTTTAAGTGCATGATATGGATTCACTTAGGCATAGATCACATCATATTTGATATCAGTTGGCTAATCCTAACATGACACTTCATTTGAATTAGAGTGTAGTTAATCAAATATTTAGAGCTCTCAGTCCTAATATACATTGAGATTCGTGCCTGATTAAGAAAATTTTTTTGGGATGCATCACATATATTTAACAAAATTTTCATATTTATCGACCAAGAGAGTTAAAGCGAGAAATATTCACCTTTTTCTTCTTAGGATCATCATGTTATTAAGTTAGTGAAGGTGGTCAAACCCTTTTGCTCAAGTTGCAAATATTAAAATTGCAACTTTTTTTAATCATAAAAATTCATGCATTTAAAATTTAGCATCACATTTTCCATTTCTAGTAACCTAGAAACACCATCAACTGCTCTTCATTTTGAAGCAACCTTTATGCAAAGAGGTCAATGTTAGGCTATATATAACATTGATCAACATTATTCTTAAGCTGACAAATTGTAACTTGTGGATGATGTCAAATCACTTAATGTTTATAATCAATACACTTTAAGACAAACTCATTGGTATATATATATCTAATATCTAAATTTTCCTTTTTACATTTATATATAACTCTAATATTTCATATCACATAAAAAATACCATCATTTTAACTTTTAAGACGAAATACATCTTTTGATGAACAGATAAGTTGGTATACATGTAAAAAATTGAGGATGTCAGACATATAAATTCATATGCATTGTGCGGTACACATGTAAATCTTCTAAAAAAAACTTTATTGAATATAAATTGATCTTAATTGAACATGAAAATTATGACATTCTTATTTTTGCATGTATTAAAAATTTTCATATTCCCTTACAAGTGATGTGCTTAAAGAACAAAAAAATAGAAAATTTCGCTATAAAGCTATTAAAGTCCTGCAATAGAATTCATATTTATATGTGGTGTAGAAAAGAGAAACGAAGGCCAAGCAACATTTTTCTCCAAGCTTTCTTCTTCGATGGCTTCCAACCATGAGGTTTTTGAATCAGAGCACGTGTAGTTTCTGGTCGTGGAGGGAGACGTCGGCCGTCTTCTCAAGAAATTCAATTAGCGGTGGCCGTGCAGTGTTTGGTTTTATTTAGTAAATCGAATTGATAATTTGGTTAGGTTTTGAATTAGAAGTTTGGATTTAGTTTTTTAAAAGACAGATATTTGATTTTCAGTTCCTGGTTCAGTTTTTAGAAAATTTCATCCCAACCAAGAACTGAAATTTACTTGGCTCTTGTTCGGCTCGTTCGAAACTGCTCGTGTTCGAAATTGACTCATGAACAGAGTGTTCGTGTTCGGCTCGATTTAAATATTTGTGTTCGTGTTTGGTTCGAAATTGGCTCGTTAAAATTAAATTGAAAAAAATAGATGTAAAGTATTGGATTCGAATCAAGACCAAATGTATGCAAAAGAAGACACTAATCACATTACTTTACAAGATATTATGATTTAATTAATTGAAAAAAATAGATGTAAAGTATTGGATTCGAATCAAGACCAAATGTATGCAAAAGAAGACACTAATCACATTACTTTACAAGATATTATGATTTAATTTTAGATATAAAAATATATAATATATTATTATATAAATAATCCGAATAAGAGTGAACAAAGAGTTGTTCGTGTTCGACTCGTTTATAATTCGAGCTTTAAAAATTCGTTTGTGTTCAACTCGTTTACTTAACGAACGAGCCAAACATGAGCTACTTAACGAGCCAAACACGAGCTGTTCACGAACAATGAGCTTTTTTACAGCAATATATATATAATAAAGCAAGACCAAACAAAAGTGCAGATGGGCAACGCAGGAGCTCT